CACACAGTTTTAAAAATCTGAATTTTTAAGCCACTAGTACCAGAAAGATTTTTACAGAAGTAAAATATTTAAAAAAACAAAGATTTAGGGGAAATCTTTGTAAATCCTCCTACAAGAACTTCATGCACAGAAAAGAGATGAAACAAGGTAATCAAACACTTGCTACAGGAAGAGAAGGTGGCGGTGTGACCGAATTGTGGCCTTCCAGTACCTAAGGGAGCCTACAAAAAAGAGGAATAGAGGCATTTTACAAGGGCATGTAATGATAGGACAAGGGGGAATGGCCCTAAACTAAGGTTTAGATTAGATCTTAGCAAGAAATTCTTTACTGTGAGGGTGTTGATTTTCCAATTTCTTTTCCACAGTGGAATTTCAATGAATAATCACAAAAAAAAGGTTGTAAGTGCAAGAGAGGTTTTCACACATATGTAACACTCAATGCTTCCATCAGTTCCTAGGCTCTCTGTACTTGAGCTCCCTCGAGGAAAGCTCTGTACTTCATCAACTTCCTGCCTTCCATAGAGCTGCTGCCACATTGTTTCACATGGCTTTTCCTCTGCTTCAGAGAGTAAAGTCAGACTGACAGAATTAAAAATACAGGGCCTCTTTAAGGTGCCCTTGCCTAATTGAGCCCTTCTGGGGCAAGAAAAGGTTCCTTCATAGATTTGTTACTGAACACTCAGACACAAAAGAAAAAATATCTTTTATATGTACCACAGCATAAAAGCCATGTTCAGTTTTGCTCTATAGAAGAGATGCTTATTTCTCTTAAAATACTCCTTCATAACAGGGTAAGATAAAAATGCTTAACAATTTTATAGTGTGTGGGCCAAAATAATCTACCAGCTCTCATGTGGGCCTCCCTGTTTGTATACACACACCTCATATGCATAAAAGGTTATTTCAATACCTCCACTTTTCATGATTGCACAGTAAGCTCTGATCTGATGTCTTACCATTCCACAGTATCAAAAGGGCAGGAAAATTGTAATCCTGTTCATAATTTCCACAGTCTGAAGCATATATTAGTTATTTCCACAAACACATGCATGATGAAAAGGTCATATCACCTACAGTGATGATGATATTGGCAGGGAACAGTGATGTTACATCATTTAATTTGCCTTCTTTTTGTAAAGATGAGTTCATATGAACATCTCAGCTGGGGATTCACTAAATATCCTCTGCTGGGAGGTGGAAATTTGCACAGAGTACAAATGGAAATAACCTTTTTTCTGAAATTTGATTCCTACCCATGACAAGGCTTAGTAAGTAACCAGTACCAGTGGAGCATTCTACTCCCCTGCTTTGCAGATTTCCACCACCAGTAAACTTCAGATGTACAGAACAGTGCATCTGTTTGCATCCTGATGAAACAAATCCATACTCAGCCAGCATTAACAGCAAGATAATCAAAATTAACAACTGGTGTGATGATTGTGCTTACAGAACACCCTAGAGACAGGAAAGATTGAAATTCTATAAAACTGAAGTTTACTCAGTCTTTTCTTAGCATGACGAGTACTTTGCAGGAAGCAGACTGACTATTTTTAATTGACATTCTGAACCCAAGGAATAATTAAGGGTCAGAAATGCCTCTTTTCTTGAGTGGAACAGAGGAATGGTTACCAAAGTACCTGAAGCTTAGTCAGGAATCTAAAGGAGTAACAGCTCCTTTAGAGTTGTTCCACCTTCAGTGGAAAGCAGCTTAAAATGCACCTCAGAGATGTTTGAATAAAGACCCACAAGAATACATTTTCTGGCTGATTACCTTGCAGCAGCCCTATGATGAGCCAGGATGTCCTCGCTCCTCAGGATCTCAGTCTACTCCATGTACAGAAAACAGGTGAAGATTGCTCACTGCTGCATTTCAGAACATGTCTGGCTAAGTCCAAACTCTTCCCTACAGCCACTGGACAGCAGAGGAGTAAAGGCATTACACTGGGGTCACTTCCTTAACTATCCCTTGGAAAAGCCTCCCAGCTGGGCATCCCTCCAGTTGGTAATCCCCTCTCTAGTGCAGAATCTCCTCAAACAGTGAAGAAGGAGCCCTGTCCGTGGTGCTCAGGCACAACCCTGCAACCAGGGAGGCTGCTGTGCTTGCACCTGCTTACAGAACACCAGGCAGGGCCAAAAGGGATAGAAGAGAAACTGAAAACAAAGCAGAAAGCAGTCCAAAGGAAAGCAAACAAACAAACAAACTCCAACAAAAACCTAAAACAAAGGCCTCATACTGCTGCCAACAAAGGTGTATTAAGATTAAAGGGCTTTTACCTGAGTCTATGTAAAGATCCTACTTTATAGGCTGACAGCAGAAAGCACTATTAACTACAACATGTGTGTATATATATTATATATGGGTTGAGACTATACCCTGAAATACCACCTGCACTTAGCATCAAAACACTTAATCTCCTTACAGCACAATGAACTGCTGAACACCTAAATGTTCTGGAGAGGTAAAATGCAATAAACAGGTGAGCAGCACTTGACAAGACCAGAGATCTCTCATGGACAGCATTTCACTCATATCCTTTGCAGTGAGTTATTTTCATATCATGAAAAAGTGTAATAACTTATGTCCTGAGGAGTCTGGATGCTGTTCCAAAAATGCCTCTACAGACTATCTGGTCCATCCAGACTGTTTGTACCATCATGTGGGAAAACTCCATGACTGCAAATGAGAAAATATTTGCTCTCCAAGCTTGAAGCTGTGATACAATGGCATTTAAATGCCAGAGAAGGCTGGGTGCACACACCTTAACTGCAGTGAGCAAGGGAATAATCCTGCCAGACTGCAAGGGCTGTTCTCATCCTTACAATGGGGTACAAACGAGGGGGAAGAAACATCTTTTTCTGAAAATAAATTCATTTCAGGTTCCAAACAAGATATGCCTATATACTAGAATACAAACTAAAGCTGATCTTATATTTGTGACAAAGTTTAGCTCAACAGCATATTGCATTGTGTTGAAAATTAGACCATTAGGAAAGAAAACACATTCATTACACACTATGAGTTGGGCAAGCATCCATGGAAAAATATAAAATCCTTTAGCCTGATTTTCCACCCAGTTAATCAGTACTGAAGCCAATGGAATCACTGTATAATTAAGCAGATTTCTGTAAAGAGCTCGTAACAGTTCACACTGCTTTAATAACCTCCCCATGTGTCAGAGAAGCTGAAGCAAGTTTCAAGACTGAAGGAAAATTCAAGAAACAGTATCAAGCAGTTTAGAAAATATGAACATTGATAGCAACATGTAACATCATGGTGATGACAGTCACAAGCATTTTACAGCATGGGAATATTGTATCTCATTAATAAGAAGCGTGACCATATTTTCTCCTCAGTTTGGAAGTAAAAAAAGCACAAGAGCATGTGGCATGCATAAGAATGACTCTGTCATGCATCATGTTACAGTCACATTCATATACCATAAAAAATGCTGGTAACCTGGTTCATATAGAAGCACCATTTTTAACTACATACATTACGCATAGAATCCCGTGTTTGGCAAGAAAAGAGCTAAAGAAATGCTGCCTGAGACACTGGAGAAAACTAATACACTTGTTACACATTTTACTGCTTTACAGATCTTTAATACATGAATCACACACATACCCTCAAGAGCAGGAGTTTAGCACTGTATGAGAAGCTTAAGTCAGGCAGCAAGATGTACAGTGCTGTACTAAGCATGACTACAAAAAGGACAATAATCATTTAGTTATTGAAAGGGCAGATAAAAGTGCAAAAATCAAAGTGATCATTAAGGACAACAATGACATCTAGTGGATACTCGGGAAACTGACCCACAGCCTAACAGGTGAAAGGATCCAGCTGCCCTTCCTTAGACACTGGGCAGCTCCCAAACTGCTATGATACAATTAGGGAGATGGAGAGAATTTACAGCTGATCAAAGTCAAAGTAACGTGATGATTTATTTCTTCCAAAAGAATACTGAATTATTTAAAGAAAAATAAAACATGTCAAGAGCCTTCCATTTGATATTTAGGATAAAAGTGTAAGTCAAAACTTGAGAGAACATCACAAATCATTGAAAGGATATAGACAGATACATAATGCCAACAGACATCTCTACTACACTATTTTTTACTCCCACAGCACCTACAGCTTTGTACTTACAACTTCCTCTGGGACTTTGGTTTTCAGTCCCAACAATCCAAAGTGAAAAAAATAAAAATCCCAGAAGTAAAACTTCAAGCCACCATTTAGCATCACCCTTTTCTCATCATCCCAATCCTTCTGTTATTGTAACACTTGCCATATAAGGCTGCTAAGTTAAACCTTCCCAAAATACCAGCCAGTAAGTGCTGAGCTCCAGAGAAGAGGAATTTGAAACATGAGGCTACCCTGACCCAGAAAGAGCAAAGATACCTGCTCACAAGTACCCCAACTAGTTTCCAAGGTGGACATCTACCAAGATCATGGATTATTTCAAATCTGCTTTTACTGTTAACTAAAAGGTAGGCAAACCAAGCACTTAAAGCAATTCAAATCTTATCACAGTTCTGACTAGAAGTATCATCACAAAAAATACTGGATTTGATCTTTTTAAAAATAAAACACTAACAAAACACTACAACTCTGTCTCATTCAAAATCTTAAGCTGATCTGAAGAACAGAAAATTGGATTTTGCTTCATATTGTCAAAAAACCTCATCCCATCCAAAATTTTTGCATCTCAATAACTGTTGAGTATTAAAAAGAAAAATATTAGAAACAATACTCAGAAGTAAAAATTTATGAACATATTCAATTATAATGATGTCTGGTAAAAAAAATCTGATAAAAGATAACAGAAACCAATCTACTAAATTTACAAGATAAAAACTAAAAGCAAATATCAAAATAAACCCAGCCATTTTCCCCCTTCAACACAATGCCATATTTTACCACCACAAACTGTTTTATTACATCAGATGTCCTAACAAGAGAGAATTGTTTTAAGATAGAATGCAAAGCATCATTGACCTACCCGGATTTCCTGGAGATTATGAAAATTATTTCCTACTCTGACAGAGATCTTGCTTGGAGTGTAACTTTCATCAGATTTGTAGTCTGCATAAATACATAAGGTCTTCACTGTTGTTTTTCTTCTGCAAGAAGCAACACAAGCTATGTAAGCATCATAAAGAAAAATATTTGGGATGAGTTTGTTGCTAGCTTGCTACAACTAAGGAATTAAATGTTCTGGAAATGAATATATGTGTGCCTAGTGATTCATAAGAAACTTGCTGTTGAAGAACTAGGTGATTTTCCACATTACATTATGCACACAGTTGATTTTCACCATTCTCCTTTGCCTGCCTTCAGGAATGTCAGCATACCAAGAAACAGATGCCAAATAAGCACTTGTACATAATGAAGCTTAAGTTAGGCTTTTCAAATATGGGCTCTCTTATTACACCAAGGCCTTTTAAAAAAAGTAAATAAAAAAGGGGGACAAATATTTCTTCTCAAGTTTTGTTAAAAAAAAAATACTGAAAGCATCCTACACAGGATGGAGTAAAAAAAAGTTTCTCAAACTCATTTGTTAGGTTACATGGGAGCCATCTACCCTCCAAATGACACTCACAGACACAAAATAAGGACACAAGTCACCTTACATGAGTAAATGTGATGCTGTCACAACTGACATACCATTAAATACTCATTTTCATTGCTTATTTAGATATTTAGTGATCATAACATTTGAAAATCTCATTTTTAGAAATGCTATCTGACTTCTTACCAGTTGGGTAACAGAACTAACCCATGAGTTCTTGCACTTGCTGAATTCCTATCTTATTTGAGCAGTACAAAGCACCCTAACCCACAGGGAGTACATTTTAATACCTAAATTGGATGTTCACCAAATGAGGCTGTGATCCATCTGACTGCCAGTAAGTTTCTAGATTATCATCTCGTAACTGATCCACTCCAAACCCTAAGAAAAAGAAAATGTGATAATCTTGAACATCCCATTTCTGTGATGCAAATGTAGCTCTTCTTCAACTGTTACAAATTAATGTCTCCTAGGTTACAACATATTAGGAAATATGTCTAGACATCCAAGGTGCACCTATGCTTTTCTGACACAAAACTGAAATAGGGGAATCTGCAGAGGTTCAATACTGTTGAGGTCTGTGGGGTGCAAATCCATGCCAACATGTCCTGGAATTTCAAGTGGTTAAGTAGTAATTCATATTGGTTGCCAAAGCAATAATTAACAGTTAGACTTTTCCACATCTTCTGTAACTTAACTGCTGAACTAGAGCAAAATCATTAGCAGAGACCATTCACTATAACATTTTAGCGAAATGTAACATTTTCTCTTCAAGTCATGTCCTGAAATATTTTTGCTTTTTCAAGTACTAGCTAGAACAGGCAATAGATGGCAAAACCAGTATTCCTAAAGGTTAATGCCATCACATTTGAAGAAGCAACTCCAGCTTTGTATTTCCTATTCCCTCATTATCCTTTTACTAATTACATCCTTTTATTGATTGTCCACACTAGCTACAGTTCCAATATAGCAGCAGAAGTTTAATAAAAAATTTCCTTCAGCCTGTTTAAGCAACAAAACCACAAGACATTTTTTTCTCCAATATTCCAGGATTTCAGACCAAAGTCATTCAGCCTGAGCAAAATACTGTGACATAAAGAGATCACTAACCCTAGGGTGCAGCAAGACAGCTGATCAACTCCCAAGAGATATTTCTGAAATAGCAACTCAAGCACCCCAAAGGGAAAGAATACACATTTTCAGGTATTTTGAGCAGGTATAACAAACTGCCCCTCAGGACCACATGTTTATTTTACTTGCAGGGGTTTAGGGCCACCCTGTAATGGCTGATCCCACACAAAGTTTCAAAGTTCAGGCAGAACATTTAGGTCTCCCAGCTGCACAGTCACCCTTAGTTACAAATGGAAGACATCCAGACAAAGTGCAAAGCATAGAAACAATTTCACTGTGCTGGGGGTGATTCTGCTTACATGGCTTAGTTTGTTCACCATGTAAATGAAAAGAAAAATTAATATAAAATATGTAAGACTTCTGTTTAGTTCATATCAGATAGTTCCTCACAGAAGGATTTCTGATACAGTTAGAACTTTCATATTGTATCACAAATAGGGAAGGCAAACATTATTTGTAGTAACTACAGCCTACACTACAGCAGTTTTACTGCTGTGGATGTCTTCCTCCCAAAACACAAATGTACATTCAACTTTTTACATCATTGTTGAGATTTACCTGGCTTACAGGATGAGAGAGACCAAACTGCTTGTGAGCCTATTTCTCTAACAGTACCAGTCCTCTCCAACTGCTTTGGATCAGCACCAGGTGGGGTCTTGTTTGGGGTGGTCATTTCTAGTGAGAGAAAACAAGGGAGTTAGTTGACATGTTTTTAGCCTGATGGGAAAATTAGAGGATTTTGTTCACATAGTCAGTTTAATTCTTTGGCTTCACACTTTTATTACAGCCTACAGACTTCATACATATTCACACATACATTTTTGCATGTCTGTTGAACATTTCATTTATATATATAAAGTAATATGTATAAACATATAGAATATATATGTGCAATATATGTAAGGGGTTACATATATGTGTCAATTTTGTGTCCTTAAGAACTCAATACATGCTTGCAACATCCATAAGACATACTTTACTTGTATCATTCTCATTTATGCATATAGAGTTAGTCAGAGTTTCAGAATTTGGTTTTTACAGTTCTGTTTTTTTAAGAAATTAAAACTGAAAATGCTAATTTAAAGGCTAGTAGTATACCTTCATTCTCTCCTACAGATACACTCAAAAGTTCTCCTTATCTACAAATTCAGAAACTAGAGCAAGAGATACTTCTCCCCTAAAATAGGAAATAGGAGTTTAAACAAATTGTATGATTTGTAGCAATTGGTTATAGCCACATTTATTTATGGCCCATTTCCTGAACTTTACAACTTCATCTGGAGCCATTAACTTGTGACTTGCACTGTCCAAGTAATCACACTCACCCTCAACACCCAGACCATCACCACATATACAACAACTTAATTAAGGTGGGCTTTGTAAAGCACAGGGCACTTGACTATTTCCTAGGAAGAAGCTTAAAATATTTTTTAAAAAATTCCAAAGAAACATAAGTTCCATGAAAAGAACTCCATCAAAGCTTAAAATTACCATAGAGCACTAAAGAGTCAGAGAGTTAGAGCTGACCTGCCATCCTTTGCTGACATGCATGACATCACATCATGCTCTGCCAATCTCAGGAAAGCCTTGCAGTGCCTCTCCCAGCCAGCAAACAGGGACTGAGCCAGGCTGGGACCCACAAGATCCACTCCTTACACCAGAACTGACACCAGGCACAGACAACATTGTCTATGCACCAGTGACTCTGCAGCTAAAATGTCCCACAGGAAATCTGACTTCCCTAGTGCACCAAACACTTTCCATGGCCCCTTGAGTATTTTAATTTTGCAAACATATGGCTTGACACAGATATTTTACTTGCTTTCTCATACACAAGATTGCAGTCCTAACTACCATAAACAAAATCTGAAGAGATAATTGCACGTGTAGAAAAATCTAAATACTGACAACAGCAACTGTCACAAAAGGCTTCAGACAAAATCCTTGTTCAAACACCATCTTCTCAGAAGATGTTGGACACCACACAGCTAATCCTACAGATATCATATATATATTCACAGACATATTAATTCTAACACCATGTAAATAAAAAAAAAAAATACAAATATTTAGTTCATAGCTACTTGAAAAACAAACATTCTTCACAAAATGGTTTGGAGTGGTGGAAGGGACCTTCAAAAATCAACTAGTCCACCCCCATGCTGCACCAAAATCCAAACTATGTTTATTAGGCATTGGGGAGACTATTATCCCAGACTTGTGAATTTTAAAGCTCAACTGACGTTCTAATCCAAACTCTGAGCAATTTTTTTTTTTACTTTTGTGACTGAACTAAGAAAGGTTGAGTTCATTCATTTTAATTTGCAGATTTACACAGACACCAAAAATACTGTTCTTCCAACCTCTAAAAATGTACATAGAAATTTCAACCTCACAAAGTAAAGCTAAATTGTTCACTTGCAATTCAAGTGATCACATCTCAAAAACATCATAGAAAACATCTTTTCAATATTATCACCAGCAAGACTTGACACTCTTTTGACTTAAAGAGAAAATGAATGAAAAACTCCAAATCCCACCCTTAAGACACAAGAACTATGCAAACATCACATCAAAACAGGGTAAATCACAGAAATTACATTGCTCACTCAGATTATACCACAAACTTGATTACATATGCTTTTAGAAAAAAATTACTGGAATATTCAAAGTATGCAGAACACCTTAAGATAATGATGTTGATCTTTCTTATAAGCTTCAGCACACAGAACAAAGTTCTAAATGACTTAATAATGCAACACTTGTATTGCACTGGTTCTCAAATGTTGGAGGCATTACATTTTGGGGGTCTGAAATACACAGCAAGAAACATCATTCCAGTTCCCCACAGTTTTAAACTGAGCTTACTTCTTTTTATCTAACAGGAAAAGATTCTCAAACCCCAAAATCTCAACTCCAAACCACTGCTGGCAAATAAATCAGCCACATATTGTGTACTAGTGATGGGAAAGACTGAAAATTTTCAATGGCTGAAATAAATGAGTCAGATTTTCCTGATGGAAGTTCTGCTCAAGAACAATACATTCTGGAGAGAATGTAGCTCCCCAATATTCAGAACTTTAAAACCCGAAAGCTGATAGAAGTACTAAGGAAAAATGATATAGCAACAGGCCAGCTCACTCATGTAACACTTCTGGACATTTTACTAGCAGAAGTAAAAGTACCTCATCTTAAATGAGACATCAATACTTAGCGCTAAAAGGAATTTAAGTCACCTACTAAATTTTTTCTTTGCTTTTTTAAGCTGCATAAAAATAAGTAATTTTTTTAGACAGCCTTCTCCGTGACATGTGCTGAAAAATGGAAAGACACACTGCACCTCTAGAAGCATTGGCTGGAAACATCTCTGAATTTCAATTCATTTATTCCAAAAGATCATTAACAGGCTGCTGTTTCCTTATTAATAGCATGAATATATATGAATGTCTTCATGACATGATCAAGGCCACACTTTCATTTTGCCATTTTCCCCTCTGTGGGGTTTGCACATCCTTTGCTCAAGACAAAGCAGCAGCTTTTTTCCCCCATTCTTGATCTCTTTATCCCTTATCTTTCTCACAGAAGTTCTCTCATTCCAGCCCTGTAACAGCCAATTGAAGATGTTTCAGCAAGCACAGTTTATGAAGAGAGTGAAATGGATTTAAATGGTTGGCCAGTCTGCCTTCCCCAGCCAAAGCAGCAGGAGGCACCTGGAAAAGCTGCACACCTGGAAGCAAACCCTTGTGTAAGCACAACACAGCCAAGAGGAGATACTGAGGCATTCACCATGGCCTTTCCTACTAAAGCTCCATAAAAATCCAGGCTCAAGGAAACTTGCAGGTTCCAAAGCAGCTTTCCCCTATTAAAACCTGCAATTCCACCACACTGTGTGCACAGAACTGTTTAAATACACACCTGGAAGGGCCCTTGAGAGACCTGACTGTGCCTGAGGGATCTGAGAGAAGTAAATGTCCAGATATTTACTTCTCCAGCAAGAGATCTGTGGACACCCAGCTTCAGGTTTCATCAACCTGAAAGCTAAAGATTTTCCTTTAGCATCCAAATCAATATCACCACCTAAAAACAAGCATCTCTTGATCTACAGGGAACTCAAAGATTTGTTAATCACTGGCCTTTACACAGCAACCATTCTACTGATGTGAAGGCACTCAGCAAATTTGCTCTGACCTTCCTCTTTTCTAGAGTGTCTGTGCCTTTCAAGCTCCCCTCATAAAGTTTAGTAAACCTAATATTCTTGCAGAGTCTAGATATTCCATCACTGTTGTTTAAAAAAATAACCAGACCATTTTAACTAAGGCCCTTTATCATCTGAGGAATCACTTCCCTTGCCTTTATATTTACTCACACTTGTTACTGTGCAAAGCAACACCTGGGTAGTTGAAAGAACTTAATTCTCAATTAATACTGGTTTTATGTGCATTACAGTGCTCAAATGCAGTATAAATGCCCAGTGTTCCCTGGGATACTGTTTGCTGTTCACTGACACCCTTTCCACTAACCAGGCCTTTGATATTTTTATTCCTGTGCTCTCCTCCTCCCTCAGTTCCTGTGACCTGAGCTCAGTTACACTGATTTCCAACCTGCTACCAAGCTTCTCAAGGTGGCCTTTAATTCCAACCCTTTTACAGTGCTTGCAATCCTTTCTACTTTGTATTCCACACTGCAGGGAACAGTGAAAATGCCCTCAAAACTGAACTCTCCAGGAGCACATTTCATGACACCACTGTTTAAAAGCGAGTCATTTACAAGTCAGATTCAAAAGCTCTTAAAAAAAATCTTTAAAAATAATTATTTTCAGAGCACACTTCAGTAGCTTGAACAATGGCAGAAATCCTGTAAAACTCAAGGCAGACTCCTCATATTCCCCCCTTATTAAGTGCATTGCCTACTGTAAAAAATAAAAAGAAAGTTTAATCCAGACTACTCTCAACAAGCCACACTAGAATATTTCCTGCGTGCACACTGATTTTAATTGTCCTCTGCTTACTGACAAATTCCCCTCCCAAACCAACTCCTCAGAATCATTCAGGAGATAGAAATCATCTGGGCTTTTCTCTCTTTTTTTATTCTTTTAAGGAATAATACTCTGATTGCACTCCAATCATATAATTTTATTTAGTTTTAGCAAATATCTGACTATAGCCTTTCCAGGAAAGCTGAATAAAGGCTGCACTGACTGCTTCAGCATTTTTACAACATCCATAACACTGTTTTTCTTGTTCTTAACAGAAGGGAATTTCATACCTAAGACTCCCTGATTTTCTTAACTGCACTACTCATTTACAAGTTCTTGTCCCTGCTCTCATTCCTTTAGCTGGACCCTTGCTCTTCTAAGGCCTTTAAAGATCTCAAGATATACCTGAAAACCACCCTCTCACTATGCCTCCTATTTTTTTAATTAGGTGGAAGATTAAACATAAAATATTAAAAATATTAATGTTTAATTAATATTTAATAATCATAGTAACTGTTCAGCAGCACCTTATTTTAACTGGCTCACCTGTACATTTGATCCCTCAGATTATTCTCTCTCAATCCAACTTTAATAAACTTATTATTTTTACCCTGCCTCCAGTGCATAGCTTTAAGCCTATTAGTGAAAATTACCAGACTTTCACTGTAAAAAATAATTCCATTATAAGGAAAGATAACTAAAAGAATTAAATTAGCAGTTTTATACATATATTTCTAATCAATCTAAAAAAATAATTTTTAATATGCTTTTGGGAAAGCCCAGACTTTCCAAAGTTACCTGGTAGAGCTACAAGCAGTTCCTTAAAGAAGGCAAGCACATCTTTACAAGGAGTGTAAAGTGTAAATATTAGGTGCAAGCTGTCATGAAAACCAAGAGCAACCAGAGGATGAAGCCGCTTTGAAAAACCAACCGGGAGCCATCCCCTCACGACTTGTCTGCAGGACTTTCAATCAACATTAATTATATTAGTTATAGCTGTAACAATTATGAATAAACAAAACGAAAAGTAACCAGGTTACAACACTATGCTGAGGCCGTGGCCCTCAGGCCTACAAACCGCTTTGGTATCGGAAATGAAGCAGCAGCAGCAGCAGCTACTCACGGCCCGGGCCCGCCGGATCCCGGCCCGGCTCCGCTGCCCGCCCGCGGGGGCGACGTCAGAGCCCCGCACGCACGGCGGGAGGCGCCCGGCCGGGCAGCCCCACACCCGGCGCGAACACAGCCCCTCAGCCAGCCCGGCTTCTGCCCGAGCTGCACCTTCTTCCTCTTCCTCCTCCTCCTCCTCCTTCTCCTTCTCCTTCTCCTCCCCTCACGGCCCCGGCAGAGCCGCAGCTCGCACCTTCCCCACCTGATCCCGCCGGGAGCAGCCACAGCCGCCGCCGCCGCCGCAGCGGAGGGAGCGCAGCGCGCGCGCGCCGCCCCGCCCGCTCCCCTCAGGCGCCGGGGCCGCCCCTCACACGGCGCCATGGGCGGGGCGGGGCCGGCGGGAGCGCCGCGTCCCGGCTCCTCCGGTGCGGGAGCGAGCCTGGGACGTGCTCGGTGCTGGGCATGGACCCCGAGCTCCCGAGGAGGCTCCTGGAGATGCTTCCCCACGGGAAGGCAAGCGCGTAGTCCCAGTGTTTCAGATGCAGATGACGCGCTGGTCCGGGCAGGTAAAGGACAGCAAGACCCGGGCGTCGTCCCTTGTGTGGGGGCAATCCGTGGGCACGATCACTACTGGAGGTGGTATCCTTAGTGAGGTGATGGGCTCCCAAAGAGAGTGACAGTTCTTCCCGACGGGAATGAAAGCGCGTAGCCTCAGTGTTCCCGGTGCAGAAGACACGCTGCCCAGGGCAGGTAAAGGCTAGCAGGTTCAGAAGACACGCTGCCCAGGGCAGGTAAAGACTAGCGGGACCATTCTATATTGGTACCTTTCGCGTTGTATCAATCCCCGGGCGTATCCGATATTGGAGCTCGCTTCCTAATGCCGAAACCGCGGTCGTGAAAGGGAACGAACGCCTTTCCTTGAGAAACACCAGTCTTAACTGTTGCTGCTGCCTGTCACCACCTGCCCGGCAGAGGCACAGGCCAGCGAGACCTTTCTGTCCTGGGAACGCGCCGTGCCGGCCCGGGAGCTCCCCTCAGAGCGCGGCCGCCGCTCGCAGGGCGGGCTCGGGGAGCTCGGGCGCCCCGACCCGCACCGGGAGGCTGCGCTCCCTACTACGGCCGCGCTCTAGGTCTCCATGGTGAGGAGGGCCGCCCTTCCCTCCCCTGCTGTCCCCGGCGAGGGCCGCCCTTCCTTCCCTTCCCTTCTTTCCCTCCCCTCCTCTCCGTGGCGCGCCCCAGGCCCCGCCCCCCGGGCCCGACGGCCATCTTGGCCGGGTGGCGGCGGTGGCGCGAGCACGTTGCGCGCGCGGGCCCGCGCGCGGGATCACCGGACGCCGTTTCCCGGCCGCGGCGCGAGGGCGCCGCGCGCGCTCCCACCCCCGCTGCCCCCGGCCCCGCCGCACCCCCCTCACAGCTCCCGGTAAGCAGCGCCGGGGGGAACTCCCGCCTTCCCGCACGGGAACGGACGCCGTGGGGACAGGGCCCCGCTCCTCGTGGTGTGCTGCCGGCCTGGGCTCGGCCTGGGCGGCGGCCTCGCCCGCAGCACCGTGGGAGAAGGGTCGGCTCGACCGCGCCCCGCCCGGGCCTCAGGGCCGGAGGCTCCCGGGGCTCGGGGCTCGCTGCCGGCGTGGGCACGGCCCGGGCCGGCGCTGCCTGCACACGCGGCACGTCATCCCCCGCGCCTCGGGTTCTGTGGCAGCGGGGTCAGAGCGCCGGCCCCGCTGCGGGGATGGCTCCCTGTGGATGCAGCGCGGGATCCTCGCCTGCCGGCGCTGGCCTGGCTCTGGGAAAGGGAACGCCGGCATTTTGCTCCTAGGAAAACTGGGAACTTCCTCCTCGGGCTGGGGGGGAAGGCCGTATTTTGCCTTCTTTTGAGGGAGGCTGATATCCACGTGGGTGCTTGTGGGGCGGTGAGGAGAACAAGCCTTCCTGCAGGTGCGATAAGATAGCGGGGTAAGGCTGTTTTCTGCGAGGTGTGTGTAAAAACAAAAGAAGAAGCCGGCAGGGCTTTTCTCAAGGACCATGGTGGTGTTTCCTGCCTGGAATGCTCTTGGATGCTTCACCTGCAAGTTCCTGTGACAGTTTTCACGCCCTAATTTAAGTTTCCCTGCTGTGGTTCCTTCCATAAACTGCAGTCCTAAACCAGTGGTCATGAAATACTTTCATTAGTTTCATTAGGTTGCTAATTTACGGGTTCGTTCTCACGCATTTCTCTTCATGTTAAGGGGAAATGTTAAAGATTGAGTGATAATTAATACTGCTCAGCACAAGCTAAACACACCCACTCGTTCTGCAGCGTCAGTATACTTGACCATATGCTTTCATGTTAACATATTTTCTTATTCATGACGTGTCTTATGAGTAACATAGTGATTTAATACAGTAGGGAAATCTGGGGCATGTCTAAACTTCTTTTTTTACATTGCCTTAGTTTCTTAAACAAATGAGAAAACCTTAAGCATAGACTAGTTCTTGTATCATTTACTGTTTTACCTATAATTTCAATTTTCTTTGGGTATCCTAGTTCCTGGCTTTATTGTCCTTGTTATAGTGTGACTGTATGTAGCCCATTGGCAGTGGAGTTGAGAGGCAGTTGTCAGTTGCTGGAAATGCTGCTCATCCTCACTTATTTCCACAGCATTTCTCTCTGAGGTCTCATGCACTGTAATTTCATGAAGTGTTCACTGGTTTTGTGCAAAGTAACCAAAGATGGCACAATTCTGAACCCAGGCCTTCCCTTCACATCTTTCAGTGAATGATCTCTGGTTCTGTTTCAGTCTTCATTTACTTTTAATGTTTAAATTTTTCTTTGTTTAAGCCTGAATAATTCAGTGCAATTACAAATTCTTCTCAGTCATAATTGCCTTGACTTGGTAAATTATAATTTTGCTCTAATGCATGAGAAAGAAATAAATATTATTAATGCAAGCACATTGCACATGTTTTACAGATTGTACATTGCTGTTGCCTTCTGTGACAGATAGCAAGGTCTGCACGTGGGCAACTTCTTTTTTTTTTTGTAATCTGGTGTGTCAGGGTGTGCAGCAGCTGTACCAGACAGCCTAAGAACGCTGGCTTAGAAGGCTTGTGATAACATGTTTGGTGTCTTATTTTTAGACATGTTTCATTTTTTGTATTAAATTACATAATTGGACATAATGGGCAGCTTTTGACTTTAATGAATGATACTGACAGGGCCTTTACAACATTTTCTTTTTTGTCTAGCCAGCAGGTTTTAGTCATTCCCTCCTTGCTTCACCTGTGTTGTCAGCCCATGCTGGGAAGATTTTCTGCTGCCACACCATCATCATTCAATAACTCAAATAGCTCTTTACCCTGGTAGTTAGTCGCAAATTAGTATTTTCATACTCTGTTTTTTATTCTGTTCTTCTTGATATGGAAAGGAGAAGCACAGTCATGAAGTCAAATGCTTCTGAGTAGCAGTTTGTCCTGCCCCTGAAGTGCTGACTGCCCTGCTGGGTTGCTGGTGTGCTGTAACATTGCTGATCTGTGTTCAGTCTCCTGAGAGCTCTGCATCTGTTCCCTGCAGTCAGACCATCCTATTCCATATGTTAATTTAAATGCCACTCAGCTAACTGGATGGAACTATGGAACTTGAGTTCAGTCTGGTTTTGGACAGTTTGTTTGTTTTTGAGTTCTAAGTCAATATTATTATTTTCTTTTGTGGACACTTGTCATTGTACATATCAGCACAGTCCTGGAAATATTACAGAAGTTCACAATTTTTTTTTTCTGAAAATGGTTAAGACCACTAGAGAGTTTTGGATAAACTGACACTTGTGTCACATAGATGGGAGCAGAGGGGGACGAGTGTGAGATGTGTGTCTCCATGCTGCTTCATTACTTGTATTTCCCCCACCATGTACTCTAATAAATGCTTAGTGTACATACTTAATTCACTGACCCCTTCAGAACTGTTCACCACAGACTGGGCATTTTTGTGTAAGTTAGAATTAACTGTAAGTTAGAATGGAACTCACATGGGCATTTTCCCAAGTAAGTTAGAATTAGAGAAATTCCCAAACTCGGGTTGTTTCATTGCTCACCAACCACAGTCTGATTCAGCAGTGAGTGCAGACTTCGGTGTGATTATCCCGCCAGGACTGAGGAAAGCTTGCTGAGGAGCTGGGCAGGAATTGTGTGTTTCAGGCCGTGTTTGCCGTGGTGCCTGGGAGCTGCGGGCTGAGCCCCGCCCGGAGGGTGGGTGGCTGAGAGGGTTTGGGGGCTGGGGAGGGAGCTTTGCTTCTGGGGCACCCAAAGAGCCGGTCCCTGCTGCCTGCAGCTCAGGGGGGAGACCCACAGTGCCCTGTCTGCTCAGGGCCCTTGGCACTTCCCTTGGGAAACAGAGAGGGAATCATTCACCCCCAAATACTCTCTGTAAACTGCAGGATTTTAGTGAAAGGCACCGGGATGTCTTCCCAGGGAAGGGATCTTTATTTGAAGTCGTGACAACATCCAGTATCTGTCCCCAAGAAAATTACCCTGACTAAAGCACCTTTATGGCCTTCAAAAATAAGGTTTTCAGTTTGTTGTTTCCTGATGTGTTAAAGTGAGAACTGCAGACTCATTATTCCATACCTGTTTGCCTGGCCTATGGATGCAATTTCAGCGTTCAGCCCTACTTTGTCAGTCTGGTCTGACAACACAGAACTGTTGAATCACTTTTAATTTTTTTTTTCTTATATTCAGTCATTTATTTGAAAACACCAGCTGTGTTAATAGGTCTTCCTGGCTTAGGAAATTTAAATTAGTAAAGGAAGAAAAAGAAATGTAAGTAGAAACTGCTACAGTATGGTTGGCAATGTGAATAGTTACATTCATTTATAGGTGATGAAGAATATCTTCTGACATTAGTTTTAAAATACTTTGGAATCTGAATAAAGGAATAAGACTACCAATTTTTAAAGGAGCCAGTTAAAATGTTGGTACCTATGGCAGTAATGGATTTAAGGATACAATAACATCAGCTTTTCTGACCTTTGCTGTTGGATGTCCATCTTCCACATATTGCAGTAGTAGCTGGAGGATTCCTTCCAACTGAAGTTTATAGAATTTAACATGATAAATGTGCCATACACCCATTTTATTCTTGCTTCCTTCAGGAGTCTGCAAGTCACAACCTTTCTTCCTCCAACAGCCATATGTAGTAAATACAGTCTGTAAACCACTGGAGGAGGCTTTGGTTTGGTGAAGCAAAGATGAGCTGGGCATCCAAAAAAACCTTTCCTTAATTAGAAATGTTGGAATCCTTTGGATGCAGCTGCACCTTTGCACTG